GTTTTTTCCTGACTACAAACAGCAGTCTGTAATCCTTTTCCATGTCATGGTTATCATGAYCTGTGGGCGRTACCTGATTGTTTCCAATCGGTTCAGAGATGCTTATTTAAAAAGTCGCTGTTCAGATGACAAATGTCAAGAGCTCTTTCAACATGCTCTCCTAAATGGTCAACAGAAAAATGAGCTTTTCAGAATATGTTTTTCAAGAATGCATTGCATTTTATTTAACACTTGCTAGACCATACTTTATCCAACTGCCAATTTTCATCTTCAAAATGTGCAAAAGAGCCTTTTCCTTGCTACAAAGAGCAGTATGTAATCCTTTTACATGTCATGGTTATCAATATTATGACCTGTAGGTGATACATTACATTGTATGTCTCCAATTGTTTCAGAGTTACTTAACTTATAAAGRTGCATTTCATTGTGTTAAACAATTACTAGATCATACTTAATCCAACTGAAGATTTTCATCTTCAAAGAGGAAAAACAGCCTACAAAGAGCAGTCTTTTCCWCATCATGGTACGTTATTGTTCAAGAAAASAGGRTTGAGTATGGGAACTACCATTTTCCTCATTCAGCAAAGCACTAGCTTCATGGAGCAATATGTTTTAAYGAAGAAATCTTCCTTTTTTACTGTATGATAGATACCTTCATTCTCTAGGAAGAGAATAATTCAAGCAATATAATTAAAATAACCATTATTTGCCTGTACATGACTGTTTGCTCTCTTGAAGTTTTGAACCAAAGTGTTGCCCAATCTCACAGTTTTTAAGCATCTGATACACTTGCCGAACCAGAAAAGAAGGTTATTTTGCACCTGGTGATTGTTTGTTTCTCGTTTGGGCAGTCAAGGCCACACACTTGAACATGTCAATTTTCTGGCAAATCTTTSTGAAGTCTTTTGGCTAAAGATCTCTCAGTCTTTTAAAGTGTCTGATGTTGTAAAACCTTTCATGTCTGAATTGGGAAGTTCTGAATTCTTTTTGCTGAAGAGAGGTTCTCCTGAAGTGCTTTGGCAAAATAGAAAGTCTTATTGAAGTTTTTTGGCAAAGAAAAGATTAGAATTTCTTTTGACAATATAAACCTGACTTTCCACTTACAATTTCTCCATACTACTAAACATAACAAAAGCAATCAGGCTGGCAAGATTTGCCTTGAATTACTCTATACTTCCATTCAAAGCAAAAAATATATTTTAAACTGTTAAAACAATGAAATACTACAATTTATGATGGAAAATATTAATAATAAAAGATTTTTGGGTCTTATAGATATATCACATTAACCTAATAATAGATCCAATAGGCTTTAATAACAAATAATAGAATAATTTGAGAAAAAGAAGCAGTTTGTTTTAAAAGATTCTATTGTATTTTTTCTTTTTTTTTTACATCTGGTAAGTGTGCAATCGTTGATACTAAGTTTTGATTAGGTGAGAGAGAGCAGTATGATTATTGATACTGTATTTATGTTTAGTGAGAGGTGGTGATATAGAGGATATTACATGGGCACGCGGAGATACGGATTTTATCTTCGAGTGTTGAAAAGATCTCTCACAAATGAGCGTAGCGAACAAGTGAGAGATTTTCAACACGAGAAGATAAAATTCGTATCTCCAAGCGACCATGTAATATTCTGTTTATCATATAATTAAATATGAAAGCAAATTATGTCGGAAAATATCTATTTTCTTACTTCCACTATATAGAGAAACATCGAATGTGTTATTTTCACTAGTGAAAATAACATGTTATTTTCACTAGTGAAAATATCAATTTTACGTAATGGAGAAATATAGGTATTTCATAGATAATTATATGATAAAACAGATTATTTACACATCTCTTTTAATTTTTAGTTAATAGTTGATATCAATTTGGTAGCTCATTTTTTCTTGCATAAAGATTAACCATTCCTAGTAAATATAACAAGGAAAACTTCCTTGACGTAATGGTTAATTTTGTAGTTTTACAGTTCAACAGCTGTGTAACACCAAACATGAAACAGCCACAAAATATTTCATGTACTCACTTCCTCCACATCCATACAGTCCTGTTTTGTCGCTCACTACCTTGTTAAACCTCTTTGACAGTTGTCTAGGATGTTGTTCAGTCTGTGAATCTAATCATTTCTTGAAGTTTTCTTCTAGAAATGTTTTCAATCTCTCAACATAGCTGGTGACTTCTCAGCGTTTCTTAGTTTGATGTAAAAAGGCTAATAATGTTCAATCGCAAGAGCAAGTGTCCACCAAGTGGATGGCAGCARTGTAGCTGTAAGTAAAAGTGTACATGTATGTACATGTACTTTTAAGAAAATGAAAATAATTTGTATCTTGATGGAAGCAATTCCCTTTAAAGGCACAACTTTTGCCTGCAGCCATTGCATGCAACCTGTGTAAGTGATCTTAACAGCATTGCTACAACTCTTGTAGAAATCCTYATAGAAGTTGTAGCCATGCTGCAAGGATGACTTTAGCGAGTTGCATACAGCTGTGTAGTCAAAAATTGTGCTGTCTATTTCCCTTCCCCCCTCCCCTAGAGCCGCTACACAGGGTATGTCTAATTTGGATTTACAGTGAAAATCGTTGCAACACGACTTCTTCATTTCGAAGTTTTGTTTTTGATTTTGTTCTTCCTTCGATCTAATGGGCGGAACTTTTTGTAAATTTGTTCAGTCATTGGTTGATTTGCAGCAATCTCCACCCCAAAGTCGCAGAAAAACTTAGTAAATGTAACTATTTCTTTTGAACATTTGAATTCGCGATGCAACGGTTTCTGCTGTAAGACTTCCTAGCAACACATCAAAGTATTGCAACCCTGAACTTCCATCATGAGGCATCAAAATATAGCGTTTCATAAGTCGAGTATTAAACATGTAAATATTGCCCATTTACAACATCCATTAATTACATTTTACTGATTGAAGTTTSATTTTCAGGTCATGACAACTGGATACACAAATGAACAAGAAGGTAAAAAAAGCAATTGCAGTGCAATACAGTCTCATGAATGTTTTCGAGTAGTATGGATGATAGAATGAAATGATTGAATTAATGGATGAATGGGGAAAATTGGATCAATGATAGGATGAATGATAGAGAGAATTAATATCTAATTGAATGATTGGAAACTGAATGAATAAATGAACAAATCATTAATCCAAACAACAAAGTCAAGCATGCAAACATTTGTCATGATGATGCCAACATCAACTTTCACAGAGGAAGCAATTCGTAAAGAAGGCAGATCTTCACCAAGCTGTGTTGCAAGAAGTCTCCTCTTGCAGCTGCTATTTGGCCCCCTTCCAGGTCTCTCCACAGAGACCTGGGAGTGAGCTAAACAATGGCTGCTAGAGAGGACTATGTATTGTCAGGGTTCATGCTACTCGTTGAAGTCCTTCAAAAGTCCTGGAATTGAAAACCTGTTTTCTGTGATATGATAAGTTCTTGTGTTCAGTTTTGAGTTCTTTTCAGCATTGTTAATAGCTGCAAAGTGAAACACATTGAACCAAGAAATATGAATGGTCCTTCATACCTTTATTCTTGGGTTTCAACCACATGATCAAGAATCCCCCATGATTATTAAAAGAACAAAGCTATCTCCACCATGTTGGATGAACAAAAAAGCAAAACAAACGAGGAATGTTTTGTTATCGTCATCAATGACAATGATGTAACGTGAATCCAATGAATATGCATTAATTCCTTGCATAATTTGACTGGTATAGTATATCCTAGGGGTGGTGAATTCAGATAAAAAAAAATTAAATTTGAGTTTCAAAAGATCCCTATAGTAGATAAGTTATTGGAAAATACTTTTTATTTGATTCTGGAGTATTTTATTGTCATTGAAAAACAGTACTCAATGTAGGTACTCAACTCTACTACTCTACTTGCTTTCACTGTACAATGATTTTCCAACATTGTATAAGTAAAGCATCCTATTCAATAGTTAAGATTAAAAAAAAAACTTCACCACCCCTAGCTTCTGAATAAATTATTTCAAAATGACATATTTTTTCCATGATTGAGTGAGGTTTATTGTATGAAGTTCAAAGTACTTTTTCAGCCTTCAAGCTTGATTTGGTAGTCACTCGCTGAGGTGCTAAAACACAGAAGCGATTGAACAAGATGTGGGAACATGTTGCCCACTTGAAGTGATACATCAGCTACATATACTAGACGTATAWAGCACCACAGTCATCTCATTTGTCCGTATAGATTGGTAATGTATAAATAGAAGAGTCAGAGCCTTATAGCTTGCCTTAATGTTATCATACATACATGCAAAGATGTAGGGTATATTTTACTGATCAAAACTCTTACGTTATTTACTTGCTCTAAAGCGTTATATGATCTTTTGCCTTTACGTCATACCCTACACTCATGTATTAACTGCAGTATTCTGATGTCATGGAAGCTGACGGTTACTTTAATTCAATGAAATAGTGGAAACCCTATAAAAGTTCACATTTTGTGAATGTTAAAAAATKACCAGATTGACAAATTAAAGAAGAAATGCATTAACGTCTTAATGACTATAGACTTATACAGCATTTGTCAGCAACTAAGCTGTAGAAGATCAAATACAAATTGTTGCACAGTGTCATATAGTTCCTAAGATGTCAGTCGATAACATTAAGGCAAGCTTGGAATGATAAATCTTTYACCAAATCAATATTGTTTTCCATTTGTATTTTACTAACAATATTATTGCCAGAATATCACGTGCTGAACCAAGGTTTGAATACAAAGTACTGAAAGCCTGATGAGATGATACAATGAAGCAAAAGATTAGATCCTGGGCAAACATGCCTGGTTCCACCACACCCCCATTTCCTATCGTAATCACCRKGTGCTAGCATACCTTGTACAGAATCCTGTAGATGAACARTATTCCAGGTTAGGATGCCAGAATCTTGTAATAATTACATGTAATAATGAGAAATAGAATACCAATTCTCAAGACTTGGGAAATTTGGGCTCACAAGTCTCCAAAGTTAAAAYGACAAGATTTGAAGAGAGTGCAATATACAACTCACAGGGAAAGCACGTAGGGTACTGAGTATATCCAGGTATATTTCTGAGAAATATGAACTAATTTCCATCGAGTTGTACTCTTTTGATTTGGAAAAAAATGAAAAAAAAAAAAAAAAAAATAGAAGCAATCCATGCTATCAAGGAATGTTTAAAATTTTCATATGAAAAGACCAAAAATGAACTCTGTTTTTCAAGTACGGCAAACTGCACATTACATTATTTCCTACAGGATTCTATGGTATGCTACACATGGTTGACATCATAACTACACTATAATAATAAACTGCAAAAAACAACACGACACAATATTCACACACAAAGCAAACTTGTCTAGAGTTGTCTCTGTTGCTCTTTTTTGATAATCAAACCAACCCAGTTACAACTGACTCCTGATAAAGGTAAAGGTTGCATCAGTGAAAATCTGATTATTTGTAGCAATGATGTGGTTTGTTTCAAACCTGTTTTTCACTTGCTTCAAAAAGATTTATATCCAAGAAATGTGCTATGGAGGACATTGTTATGCTTATAAAAACATGCAAACAGAATGTTAATATTCTATTTTTGAAGGTTCTGAATTAATGTTATAAAAAAACAAACAACAAAACAAAGCATTGCCTTAAAAAAAAAAAAAAAAAACATGCCGTCTTTGTCAAGTATTGAAATCATCATGTCAGTTGTAACTGGGTTGATTATAGTAATGCTGGGATGGACAGATGATCATACCATACCATACTGAGAAAGATGGAGACCTGCACAGTTAGACTCTACTTTATCATCACTGTCATCACATCTCTGATGAATGAAAGATTTATTTATATTGTTATCAAGGCWACAGTCTTCATTTCTTGTATTGGAAACACTGATATAACATGTTGCAAGTTTATAATAATTGCATGTGCTACAAATGCAAGGTCTATTGACATCTAACATTTCTTCCAGTGGTGAAGCTATTCAGTATGTGACAGTGGAAAAGTCTTTTGGATGATTGTTCTTTATAAAAAAGTAGAGTTTGATTGTGCAGGAACAATGGAACGGATGATGCATCGATTTTCTGAAAGGATAAACAATGAGCAGAAACTATTATAGTCGATATGAAAGACGTTATTATACTATAAACAGCATAATGAACACAAAAGACCATGATAATGATGATGGTGTTGATGATGATGATGATTGACAGTGGAAAAGTCTTTTGGATGATTGTTCTTTATAAAAAAGTAGAGTTTGATTGTGCAGGAACAATGGAACGAATGTTCTTTTACAATGGAAAGCAAAAATCTTTGTATCTTAAATGCCTGTGACTGTGACTTATGGCATCTTAGATTTTGTACGCATAAAACTAAACCTGGAATGATTTTCCATCATCTGTGAAGTAGCTACCAGTTAGTATCACACTTCAAACTCCTTTAGTATTGCTTTTATTTTCTATCGACTAGAAAGTACTATAGATTCTGTTCACAGATGCAAGAAAATCACTTTAGGTTCCAATGAAATTGACAAATTAACATCTTTCTCAGTATGGTAACTTAGGGTTGGGGAGGGGTTCATGATTAGGGTTGGGGAGGGGTTATGCCTTTGGGATGGGGAGGGTTATGCATTGGGCTGGGGACGGTCTTAGATTTTGGGCTGGGGAGGGGTTAAGTATTGCCAATGGGAGGGTCTATGTTAAAGTCTATATCCRAACCAGAGTTACATGCYGCACCCAGGGAAGACTCKGCATAGGTATTGGTCCTCATGTTGKACAAAACATGAKGACCAGTACCTATGTCAAGCCTTCCCTGTGTGCGGCATGTAACTCTGGTTTGGATATAGACTTCCTAATAATGAAAGGGACTTTTTTAGAAAGTGCCCTTAATTTTATCTTAAGTTTCTCTTMACTTAACTGTCTTCAACATATTGACTTGTATATTTTGTCTTTGAGTTTTATCATTGAAAATAAAGTTTGACTTAGAAWTTTTTTCTGTATCTTTAATGTATTCCATCTCTATAGGGTACACGCCCATTTGACTTAAAAAAAATATGCCTCCCCGAGGCCCCACCAGCACCAAGTCTCTTGCCACCCCTGCAGGCCAAATCTTTTTGGTAGTCTCGCTGCCCTGACTAGAGCCAAGTTATAAGGCCAAGACCAGCAAACTTTAGACTGCCCTGATACTGGAGACTGACTSTATGGATGTCAGACCTCCACCCACTGCAGACTCCAGGGGGGAACTCTGTTGTCACCCAAGCCAGCATGTAAAGTGAGGGTCAGTGCAAATGTGAGTCTTGGGTGATCCCACCCCAACACCTACTGAATATGCATGAYAGTGATGCACTGTGTGATCAATAGGCTCATCACTTAGCAACATTCAGGCAACTCCGCAATAAGTTATGATTATCAAATCTGACTGGAAGACAAAAAGTACATTTCTGGGATAATAAAGTTGGTTAAATGCGAAGGTCAAATCAGATAAGGCCAACTACCACCATGCAATTTAATTGGGAAAATCTGTTTTAATTAACTTTGCCACCATTTTTAATTAATTTGGCTGGAAGCCATGTTGAATTTTAAGTTAAGTAGSCATTTTGAATTGATTAATATAGAAGCCATTTTGAATTGATTAACTGGACGCCATTTTGAATTGATTAACTGGAAGCCCTATTGAATTGATTAACCTGGAAGCCATTTTGAATTGATTAACTGGGAGCCATTTTGAATTGATTAGCTGGAAGCCATTTTGAATTGATTAACTGGAAGCCATTTTGAATTGATTAACTGGAAGCCATTTTGAATTGATTAGCCTGGAAGCCATATTGAATTTATTAGCCTGGAAGCCATATTGAATTGATTAATTACTTATTCACTGATATACTACAGTATTCTTGAAATAATAGGCTTCTATCGGCACTGAAGCAAGAAACGTACAGCCGATTTACGTTTATTAGTAATGGTGGCAAAAAAAGAACTTCAATGTTTATATCTAACCTAAGATAGTTTTTTCACCAGCAAAGAAACTTTCGACAAGTAAAAGGCCGGTCAATTTGTATGCAAAAGCTATATTTGGTTGCATTTTGTTCAAATATAGCAAAATGGGATGAATACATTGACCATATGACAGTTTTAGTTCATTTCAATTCTCAGCATGTTCCTATGTTGGTATWAAGATGGCAATTTTCCATTTAAACAACGTATCTTTGATACTTCAACATCTTGTCAGCTTGTCAGTCTTGTATCAAGTAACATTCAAGCAATGGTTTTCTGAGAAATTCATTGAGGTGCAGTGTTGTCACTTTGACCTCTTTGTTGTAAGTTTAATATTCCAAGGTTTGGTGTTTTTACCCTTATTTTCATGGGTCACCTCGTTACCTCATCACTTATTTAATAAATAATTTTCAGTTCACTGACTAAAATTCATATGCCATCAATATAYATCACATAATATTTTGATTTCTGAATTCATTTAGTTGGCTAATGTTTCATTTATGTAAGATTTTGATCTATTTTTAAAATCATGTAAGAGAAAGTGAAGAAATAATTCTTTGAAGACCTCAGATCCCAGGTTTTAAAGTTAACATTCAAATAATTGAGAGTTAATTCATGTAAGCTCATGTAGTGACAATTTGCCTTCTCAAAGTTTGATCCAATGTTTGAAGAAAATATTATCTTATGCGTAAATTGTTGCCTACATTTTCTTGAAATTTCATTTGACAAAATTTGGCTTTAAATGGAATGATTTTTCACAAAATATAATGTATATCCCCAACATTTCCATTTTTTAAAACATTTTTGTTGATATATGTACATTTATGATGTATTCCAACATGACAACTTTGTTTTGATTGTAAATATTTGAAAATCAGTGTTGCTCATTCATTCTTTGGAAATTAATAGTTCAGTAGAACAGTTAGATTATCGGAGTATTATGTTAGGTTTTATAAATAGGTTTAAGGATCTGAGGTCTTCACTTTGCTGGTGAAAAAACTTCAATTAAATTACAATCTGTGGTAGAGGCCATTTTATCAGTCGCCGACAACATTTAAACCCACAATATTATCCCAGAAAAAATGATTTTTAGTCTTCCATGTCAGWTYGATAATCACTTAGTTTGGAGAAGTCTGAATGAAGCWTMACTTCAAGCCTACTGATCACCCAGTACATCGCTGTCATGCACATTCAGTGGGTGGTGGGGTGGGATCACCCAAGAMTCACATTTGCACTGACCCTCACCTTATTTGCTGACTTGAGTGGCAGCAGAGTTCCTCCCTGGAGTCTGCAGTGGGTRGAGGTCTGACATCCATACAGTCAGTCTCCAGTATCAGGGCAGTCTAAAGTTTGCTGGTCTTGGCCTTATAACCGATTGGCTCTAGTCAGGGCAGCGAGACTACCAAAAAGATTTGGCCTGCKGGGGTGRCTTCTCTTTTGGTGCTGGCAGGGCCTCGTGGGAGGCATGAAGTTTATTTGATTTCAACAATGAGAAGAGTAGATACAGGAGAGTGTCCTGAAACACAGACACAAAATCTCCGAGAATGCTAATCTATGAATTTTAGACCCCGAAGCAGGGAACAAAAATAGTGGACAAAAAGCAACTGAGATGACATGTATGGAWTTTCCATAACATATCCTCTTGACCTCTAACAAAATAGGACACTCTCCTGTATCTACTCAAGGGCTGGGGAACTGGCTGCTAAGATCTTTTTCCTTGAATCTAGCAGATATCTTTGAAGTAGAAAACCTAACTTATCCTAAGAGGAAGTACCAGCCCCCAGCCCATGAAAATGCCCTAGTTTTTTTATGGAGTGCAGTCTTATCAAAATCTAGTTATGACTGCACTCCCTTTCTCTCATTTTGCTTTCCACTCTTTTTTTCTTTCTCTCATTTCATTTTCTTGTCTTCTAAATTGGCATCCTTGAGCTCATCTTAGGTACTTGGCAGACCAAAGAATCTGTATAAAAAAAAGAAAGAAAATATTTGAGTGTAGAGTTCAATAAAAAATAGTTTGATTTTTTGGTAAAACTTTGTGAATAATAGGCCGTTTGCATTATGACGTAACTCTACTACAACTAGCAGAGAGCCTTGTGCATTTTCATTGTTATTCAGATTTTTAATCCCCTTGGAGATCAATAAAACAATTGACACTAATTGCATTACAAAAGAAAGTTGGCAAAGCATTCTGGTAGTTGCAGTAAATGAYGCCATAATGCATATCGCCTATTAAAACAATTTCCTTATCTTTCAGAAAAATAAARATTGTTAATTTACTTACAGGTCTGCCACTTGGTTGATGGCCGTAGCTTGACATGGTGTTAGTGAGACTAACATCTCACATCAATGGTATCACGATTGCTGTCAAGCTGTAGAAGAAATGATGAAATCATGTTTAAAATACTGGAGGAAAATGAGTTAAATGTTTGGAAAAATGTTGACTATAATCAACTTTAAATGTGAACTTCAGAAAATCAATTTCTTTTGAATAAAAAGTGGTGAAACTATATACACAAAATGCAAAAAACAAAACAACAACAATAACAACAAAACAAAACAAAAAGAACAAAACAAATAAAAGGAAAAAAAACAGTATGAAACTAAGTTTTTAAGATGGTAAGAAAGATGTCTCATTCTTCAAGCAAAACACTGCATTGTGATATGTAGACAGAGACACCTACTGTACAATATGTATTGCCACTAAATGATACTAGTATTAAATCATATTTTAACTGCTTTATACATACCTGAATATCATTGCAATAATTCCCTTGGCTGACTGTATTAGCCCATCATACTGTGGTATGTCATGGTCAGCCATTATTAACATGGTTTTACTGTGCATATCAGTAGTGCATCTGGAAGGTTGTGCTGTATTCTTTGTACAGTTGCATGTCTAGCACACAATATTATGTACATGTATACTTCTTGTAAGCCTGTATTGTACAAATCAAGAATAAAAATGTTATTGATATTATACGTACAAACTCTCTTGGTTGGATCTTGGGGAGAGGGGGGTTGAGTAGGGGGGCTATGCAAGGCAGACATAACAATATGTTAAAAGTACATGTACTTGGAAAACTCAATATTTAACGATCATCTAAACTTAATAAACGACACTGAGACAAACTATTGGGAAAGCAGCTCATAAACTCTACATTTTTGACGACAACAGCTGCATAATAACAAACTACAATGAACAACACAAGTTCAAAATTCGCGCCAATAAAGAATACCTCAYAACATGCAAATTTCTCAATCTTCTTACCTTTTTTCGGTCCTAAAATGTCCTTGAAACATTTAAATACATTTTGTATATTGTATTTTGCCTTCTTGAAGCATTTTTATGCTTAAAATAAAGCATTTTTCAGCACCTTCCACCATGTTTTCCTTTCGGCACGTGTGGAACGTGCCATTTGTCACGTGACAGTAGACTGGGAACTAGTGTCCCGAGGGCGTCCCGTGGGCTTGAGTGTTCATGATTTTTGCATATTTTAAGGTGATTCTTAACGAATTTTTTGAAATTACAGACTCTTCAATTGTTTTAAACTTCACATTGATATTTTGAAAAAGGGTTAAAAGAAGCAAGACTGTGATTGTTCAATTGATTTCTGGAATAGTTTGTTGCTARCCCCAAACCCTAGCAATAACCCTAATGTAAATTACTCCACCAAAAAATTTAGCACTAACCCCAACCATAATGTTAAATCAAAACCCTAGCACTAACCCTAATGCAAATTACCCTACCAAACATTTTAACGCTAGCCCTAACCCTAATGTTAACCCCAAACCCTAGCACTAACCCTAATGCAAATTACCCTACCAAACATTTTAACGCTAGCCCTTGMCCTAATTTTAACCCCAAACCCTGGCACAAACCCTAATGCAAATTCCTACCCGAACACTAAATTTAACCCGAATGCTAACCCTAAACCCTAGCACTAACCCTAATGCAAATTACCTAACAAAGTGGTGGGCTGAGGGACGCATGGCCTCGGGAGGTGATTACTTTATAAGGAAAGTGGTTGCCTATGTATGGTAGTCGATCACGTTACATTACGTAACGTAAGTTGTTATCGCTTACGGAACGCGATTGCCTACAGAACACGCTAGCTTACTTGCGGAAGGGGTGTACTTACGCAAGTTGTACACATAACAGGAAATGCGTGCTTACGGTACATTCCCTCTTACGGAAAATGGCCGCTTAACGTATGTGATCGCTTACGGAAGGTGATCGCTTACGGAAGGTGGTTCCTTGCAGGACATGTTTACCAAGGTGTGGTGTTGTGGCAGGTGTAAGGTTACGTGGGTGGGCATTACGGAAAGTGTCCGCGTCTTTATGGAAAACTCTAATTTCAAGGGAGATGACGGAAATAGAGGAGATAGCTTACTGGAGGGACTCAAAATACCTACCTTGATTATCATTGTCTCTGATTTGTGCAGCCAGCCAGATGCAACGAGTGAGAGGAGTTGTCCCGTAAAGACATTTGTTTAAGTAAAAGTATTAGTTGATGGTGATTGGTCAATCTTGCTCCTTTGGGGTTATGACGTCATTATCTACACGTGGAGACCCTCCCTGGGGAACACAAGAGCCGTTGCAACCAGTTGACYAAGAACAAGCGATTTGACGATGACATCATATACTACATCTTTCAGAACGCCTTGCCCGAAAAACAATCCTTTGTTCATAGTTTACTTGGTTACAAATAACTGAAATTTCTTTATAATAATCTCTAAYAATTATCTGATAAACGGAAATGTTCAATTTTAAGTACAATGATGCCAACACGCAATTGTCTTTTTTGTCGTATTTCTAAACGGAAATGTCCTAAGGGCAACAGATCATGGAACATTTCTATTGCGTGATAAAACGTAACGMAAACSGTCCAGACCGATGCGTTTTCGTAYGTTTTTTTCCCATTCCCTTGAAGAGCAATAAAAAACGTTGCGTAAACACATCAGTAYGGACAGCCTCTCAAGTCGAGATTGCCWAGACCTGCCA